CCAAGGTTGAGACGGCGCGAGGAAGCAGACGGGAATCCCAGGCTCCCGCGACGCCGAACCCTAGCAGAAGCGATGCGCCAGCAGGGAACGAACGAGCGTGCATGCGGTGGCTCCCGATCCGTTGCCTCCTCATGCACGTCGCCCTTTCCAGGTGGATCGCAGGCCTGGCCAGCCCCCCGGGCCTCGAGCCCAGTACTAGCCAAGCCCACAATGCCATCATTCACTTGCGACCCATCTCTGCCTAAAAGCGAATTCAAACGTTCAATCCTCGCCGCACGAACTTCACGCACACCGGCCACCGCCGGCGATCGCTGAGGCACAACTCGGCCTCCCTTCTTCTTTCTCCTAGTTACTCTTGTCCAGCACTCGGGACGAAAAAAGTCGGACAAAGTAACAACCGGCGGAGCCACCTTTTGGCAACGGTCCAATCCATGGTTTCACTTTCGACTTCTGCGAAGGAACCGTAGGGCCGAGCGAAAACGAGTTTTTGCAGCCCTCAATAGGTTTAGGCAAAGAGACGGATGTTACCAAGTCAATCTTAGGTGGCGGTCGATTAGACGTTTCATGTCGATCATCATCGTCTTCCTCCTCGTCGGCAAGGATTCAGAATCGACCCCCGAATCGCTGCGTAGGCTTCGGTCCGTCCACGTCCTTCGTAAGATCCACAACGACAGGTTGATCTCCGCAATCCACAGGCACCTGCACACACTCGAGAACCTCGATTTGGTAAATATCAATCAATATTCGCTTAACACTAGCAAGTTCCTCGTCGGTGCTCAGATGTTGCCCGGCCAAAATTTCTCCATCTTCATTTCTGATCCTCGTCCAACGAGACGGATGCGAGTAGATCAAACCATTGATCCATCGCCCCGCCTCCCTAGCATCTTCGAAACGCACGCGCCATTTTGAAGGATTCAAAAACCCCCGATCCCAATCTGCCATCGAGGGATCTCGACGGGATACCGGGCATAAAACAAGAGCTAGCATGGTCTATTTTCTCTTTTGTACATTTTTTTACATCATTTGAGGAAATGGTTCCTTTTTGTGTTCACAACTAGTGTGTCTTGATGAATATAAAGTTAAAGAGTGAATTCTACAAGGGTTTCGGCAGGTGCTGGCTATCACGACACATTCGTGCTGCTGGCAAGAGTAGCACACGGATCTTTTTGATTCTCTTTCAGGATTTTGCGTTGATGGTTAGCTGATAAATTTCACCCGATGCACCGCATTTGTTTTCTTTGTATTATAATATAGAGCTTATATATATAGGGTTGGAATTAAAATGGTTACACTAGTCACTAGACTATGGAGAGAAGGCATGTCAAGTGAATAAACTACCACCGGCACATACATTCTCATTTGATAATCAACTATATTTAGTTTTAATAAACATGTCTTGGATGAATCATAAGTTGGTTTTAGAATTCAAAAGAAAAAAAAATCGTCTTTGGGAGCTGGGCAGTTGAGCTACCTATGTATGCTCACATTACATCATATCCTTCATCTACTTTTCTGATGCTTATGAATAATCCGTCTAAGCTGTGCAACATGTAACTATATATGCATTCTATAAAATACAAGTCGTGATATATGAAAAAGGCATGCGATTGTTCTTTACGTCTATCTTGATCTGGTTTAACTAAAAAGCATTAAGTTGATTATTGCATTTAGTGTCTATGGTTCAAAAGCATTAGAAATTCACCTACATTTCCATGAACAGTTTTTAGTCGGCACCGCTACTTCGGTTGTCCACCGATTTGCCACCATCATCGAGATTCATTGCCGCCATGGCTGCCACCACCTAGGTCAAAGAGAGAGTGAGCTGAGTGAACTGGGCGAGTGAACGAGGTTGGGGGAGGAGGAGAGAGGGTCGACCAGTTTAACCTCGGCCCAAGCGACATGGTCCGGCTGAGCCCCATCCCTAACGACCGTCAGCTGGTCGTCGTCTACCCCGATGCCAACGTCGCCCTGACAGAGGCCATCTACGGGCCCAACCTGTCATAATCCTGCTTAACTAGACTGAACCGGTTCCTATGTAAAAGTGATACTTCCTCCTATCTATAATAAGTGTCCCAATTTTAAACTAGGGTTAGACTCTGGGTTGGAGTAGTTTTTATTTTGACAAAAAGTTAAACAAAAGTGGTAGTTCCGTGGGAAAGTGGTCATTTTAGAAAGGTCATACGTGGAGTGTAGCTTTTGCAGGGGCAAAAGAGTAAACTAAAGTAATACATCTTATAATCTAATTTTTTTCACAAAAAACTACACGCCAAGGAACGCCTAACCGTGCCGCGGCCCGCCGGCTTTCACAGGCACCGCCGCGTCCGGGAACAGACCGACTGCCGCCTTCCACGTGCCCGCGGGTTCCCCCTCATCGAGGCGACCCACAGCGGCGCGGCCGCACCGAAGCCGAAGGGGCCCATCACTCTGGCGCTGGGTTATCCGAGGCCGTACCGGCGCTGGCAGGAGGCGGAGGGCGCGCCCTGAAGGAATCTTCCTGATTAGACCTGGCTTGCTCTGACCTGGTGAGTGATGGCCTGCTCTGTTCACTCGATTCGGCACTGTAGGTGAAACCTTCACCTTTTCTTCATTTTGTTCCAAACAGAACAATGGGGTTCAATCCAGGTCAAGTTTCCCCTCTCCTCGCCTCTCCTCTTATTAGCAAGCTCTGTTTGTTATTTTGTGTGTGCTTTGGATATTATTTTTTTGACGAAAAGACGGCCCTAGGGCCGTATTTCATTGATTAATCAGGAGAGGCAGAATACAAAGTCTGAGAGACAAAAAGAAGGTGGAGCTGGCATCCAAAAAGAAAACACTCAGCAACAAACAAGGGGAAAATCAAGGTGGTTCAAATATTCTGTCGAGCAAGCTATAAGCCCAGCCGCTGACCAACATCTTGCCTCATCCATGATTCGTCCCATGAGTTGTGGAGCGCAGCATATGTCAGCATTGAACACACGGTTGTTTTTGTTCCTTCCATATCATCCAGGAGACCAAGCAAATGGCCTGACTTCCATTCTTTCATCTTATTAGCTGGGAGCAACTGCAGTTGCATCATCCAATTGTTTTTGAGATGAAGGCATTGCTGATGGGAGTTTACCATTGGCGCTAGGTTGAGAAAAAGTCCCCCAAGCTTGCTGATGGCCATCATCCAGAGCTGCTTTGGATACTTAAACGATGTTATTTGGGCTGCTGACTCCTACGTTGCATGGATACTTGGATACGTATCGGATACACGATACGGGGATACGCCCGATACGTCAATTTTCTAAAAACATGGATACGGGGATACGTTTATGTATAGATGTTACATATATTAATTATTACAAATATGAAGAAAAAAATTAAGGAGCTTCTAGATCAAAGCATGCCTCAATACGATTACCCCTTTCTTTTCTTGCACTTAGTCCACTTCCATTAATTGGCAGTGAGATTTGACTAGGTTTGTTGTTTCAATCAATGCATCGACTCTCTCTTGCTCACCTTTCAATTGAATAAAAAACATTGACATACATGTTTTCACATGAACTCACGCCCATGTTGGGAATCTTCAAAGGTGTGCCTTTATTATTGAGGGGATTTCACGTCGAACAAGGGGTTTCAGGTATCCAAATCGTATCGCAGAAGTATCCTAGAAGTATCAAACATTATTTTATTTTTTTAAATCAAAATTTCGAGGGATACTTACGGGATACGTATCAGGAAGTATCGGGGTAGTATCCGAGTATCGGGGCAGTATCCGGCTGGATACGCGCAATTTCTGAAGTATCCGCGCAACGTAGGCTGACTCTAATATTAAAACCTTGGCTCTGAAGCTACAATGTAGAATTTCTTGTAACATCCCTGTGTTGATCTTTCTTGTCGTTTTTGCTATGGAGGCTCAGCTGTACTGCCCTGCGTACCAAGGTACTGACAGAGTTATTACAGCACCCTCTGGGTATTGCTGTGCTCCCTTATCTCCTTGGCACTGCGAAAAGTAGGGTACGATTCCTTCTGCTCAGATTCCAGAAGTTCTCAGTTGAAAGCATGGTCATGCTTTCATCTGCAACTCTCTGAAGACTTTGCACGTGAGACTCTTATTTTAATTGAAGGTGTGATGGTAGTACAAGACCCGCAAGCATCAGCTTGTATGGTGTGTCATTCATCTGCATATATGTATGTTCTTGCTCTGTGCTTGGGCATCCTTGGCATTGTGGCCGCTTCTCTGCAGAAGTATTGGCTCTCGGCAAAGGTAAGAGGCTTCTGGTTTTTCTACTTTCTACTACATCCTTAGTGCATAAACTTGATACTTCTTTGGATCTTGTTTATGGTGGCTCCTTTAGTGCTTGCTTGCATAGCTTACTTTCCTTTGATTTTTCTGACATCAAATATATGCATCCATGTGAATTTGGAACAGACTGCTGATAACAAATACTGCTACTTCATCCTATTTTAGGCTGCTCTTTTGCTCTGGGCTTGGGCATCCTTGGCATAGAGGCTGCTTCTCTGCAAAATTATTGATTTGTTCAAAGAGCTTCTTGGCAAAGGTAAGAGGCTTCTTGTCTTTCTACTTGCTACATCTTTAGATCATAAACTTGCTACACTTTTAGATGATGTTTATAATGGCACACAGGAACCTAAAGTGCATAGTTCTATTTGTCCTGAAATTTAATATTAGACGTTTTTCTTTGATTTATCTGGCATGGAGTATATGCATCAAGTTGAAGTTAGAACAGGCTGCTGATAGTAACACATATTGCTACATCTTTCTATTTTACACTGAAAAGAAGTATTGGCTGTTCACAAATGTAAGAGGCTTCTTCTCTTTCTACTAGATCATAAACTTGCTAACTCTTTAGATCACCTGAAAAAAACTTGCTCCAGTATTGGACACCTTTGATTTGTCTGACATCGAATATATGCATCCATGTGAGGTTGGAACAGACTGCTGATGATAACACATACTACTACATCTTCCAATTTTAGGCTGCTGTATCTTGTTCTCTTGATTCCCCACCATTTTGATGACATCTGTCATGGCGCCGGATCAAGATTATGATCAAGATAACAGTCATGTGGATGATACCCAGAAGTATTTTTTCAAGTGCATGGTTGGCGATTTCCCAGAAAAAATGGCAAGCCCTGGTGCATGGACGCCCTTTCTCTCCTTCAGACGGAATGCCATCCTGGTCAGAATGATAATTTTGTTGTTTGCTTGTTCCTGCAGGCCATACCACAGAAGTTTGTGGAGAACTTCAAAGGTCATATCTCTGAAGTTATCAAGCTAGAAGCTCCTGATGGAAACATTTACAATATTCAGGCTGTCAGGGGTCTGAACAAGATAGTCCTCGGATCTGGATGGGGGGTATTTGTCAGCTTTTACAAACTAAAAGTGGGCTACTTCCTGGTGTTCAGGTACATCGGGGATTCTCACTTCAAAGTTCTGATATTTGATTTTGGAACTTGCTGTGAGAAGGAAGTGTTCCACGTTCTCATGAACTGCGACCCTAATGCCCAAGAAAAAGAAAGCAACAGTGAGTCCCATCGAAGGTGCGAGCTCTGTGATGTGCATTTCTATTGGCATCACCTGGATGATAGGCAGAAGCATTTCCTGAGGCTCATGGTTGGCGATTTCCGTCGAGAAATGGTAAGACCTTGGATGATAATGCCCTTCCTGACGTCTTGATGAAGTGTAGTCTTTACCGAAAAAGGGTTTCCCCCCGCTTTATATTATAAAGCACCAGACACACGATCACAGGGTAACTGCCGGGGCGAACGGCACAACAAGCCCAAAAGGGAAAAAGAAGAAATAAAAGCCAACAACGGCAGCTCGGCAAGCACAAATGATCCGCCACCGCTGCGCCCTCCACCTTCGTCCCACCACACGCCATGGCACCGGCCCGCCGCATACCAAGCAGCACCTCCAAGAAGGAATGCGACGCCAACGACGCTGCTGCCCGGACGAGTCCTAGGGTTTCCCTCGGCATACGGAGGGGAGCAGGTGATGGGTAGCGCCGACGCCCTTCAAGAAGGAATGATGGCACCCTCAGGTGTCACCGCGTCGGAGCCGGAAGAACCGGCAAAGATTTCTCCCACATCCCCAAGCACCGCTACCCACTCGAACCGGGGCCATCCAACCATCAAGCCACCCGCAAGCACGCGCCACCACGGTCTTGGACACATCCATGTCGCCCCGCTGCGAACACCACCACGAGGCCAAGGAGGCCGGAAAGAAGCGCCAAGCGACGGGAGGAACCACACAGAAGCCAAGCGGGAGGGAACCACCTCCCCCGCCGACGTGCGGGAGGCCCGAGCCCCCGGCGACGTCGTGGTCGCCGACCGGACGTGGCAGCAGGGCACACCGGGCCACCCCTGGCCCGGCCAGGTCCACAACGGACCCGCAAAGCCCCGCCGGCCATGTTGCAGCAAGCCGGCACCTGCGCCGCCCGCTCCCAGCCGTCAACGCCGCTCTCCCGCCTCCTGGAGGCCACGCCGCCGGCCCGTCCCGCCGCCGGCCCG